TGCCCAAAGGCTGGGGAGGCGAGCAGGTCTCTTCACTCAAACGTCATGTCCTAACGGCTCGAGGAAGCTGCAGCAACCTGGCGCTGGCAGAGAGCTCTCCAGGAAGGAATGCAACAGATAGAGTTACGGAGGAGACGGAGCGAAGTGGCCTTCTGACTTCCTAAACTTGCTCCTGAAACACAGATTGATTTGTTTGCTGCCAGCTGAACGGGCACAGCCCTCTGCTGGGAGAGCCTTTGTGCTAACTCGTATCAAAGTTTCCTTCGGTCACAGATGCGGGAGAAAAGTGGATATATCCTGACAGGCATTACAGTCATGCCTGTTGCTATTGGAGCTTACTCTTTAGCACCATAAATCTCACTTAATTGGTACCTAGCATCTTGTATTGCTGATGAAGTTAAAGTGCACTGAAAATAGATGTAGATTTTCTGTAGATAGACCATACTAAACTTTTCACCTGTTGCAGTGATATTTTAGCAGAAATATCTGGTAGTCCTGGGAACTACAGATCTTCTGACTCCCTGGTATTTAGGTCAGCTCTGATAGTCTGAAGGAAGCTGAATTCAACTGCAAGTATCTGTCTTAATCGATTTCACTAGAAAAGTCCTGCTTAAAGGGAGTTTTTGGTGCTGGCAGGATTGTCATGGCTACGGCACTGTGCAAACACAAGTGGCAGATGGACAGAGCATATCTGACCATGCTGCCTGCTGGATTTTCAGCGTGCATGTGCTAAAGTAGCTTCCAGAAACCTCCCAGGTAGGAGGAGTAGATCCTTCCTGGGACTGGCTGTGTCCGCAGTAGCACCTCAGAGTCCTAGTGAGCAAGGCAGAGGGAAGATGGAGCAACCTGCCCCTAAAAGTTAGTGACTTGTATAAGAACAGATAAAGCTTCAGTTATATTTCAACAACAGTGTTCCCAACAGGAGGTGACCTCATGGGACAGTGTATTTGTGCAGGGGCTCGTTCCACGCAGCGTTTGCATGCCGGAGGCCGGCCTGACGGTAGACTGCAGTGAGTCTAACCTGCTTATGCATGGATTAAGTCACCTTCCACTTTGCAGACTTGAGCCTGTCGTGGCGGGCTGGCTCTGCCAAGTGCTCTGGGAACAGCCTTGCCTCCTGATCCCTGGCGGGTGCTGTCCAAATGTTCTACCCCAGAGCTTCTTTCCTTACAGATCCCAAAGAGCAGCACCATTGGAAGTAATGCTCGGGTAAGCTGTCTGGCCAGGGCGCTCTCCCGAGCCCCCAGCTGCTGTATGCTATGCTGATTTACCTCTGAATTGGCGGAAGTGTGGCCAGCAAATGAGAAATGCCTGTCAGGTAACGGTTGTGCTGCTGAATGGTGTGGGAAAGAGGAGGCAGCTCGGAGGTCTTGCCCCCTCTCAAAAGGGAGGGGTGGCATTGAGGATGCCGGCCTAGGAGATGCTGGACCTCAAGCTGGTAGCAGGAGGGGACCCGAGGCCTGCAGATGAGCAGAACACACTGGCTGTTGGCTCTCGAGGTCCAGCAACAAAACTCGAGTTAAAAGTTTGTGCCGCTAGATCATGCGTTGAACAGCTGCCAGCTGAAGAGGTGCGGCTGGAAGCCAAAAGCCTGACAAAGTAGCTGCTGATCCTTGAGGTCAGGAATCCCGACTGCTGTTTGTGGCTGTGTTAGCGCCTTACTGCTTACCTGTGCCAGGATCTGCAGTGCAGCCTCTTGGGAAGAGAATATTTGTATTTGAGCTGGAATCCTTCGTTGTGTGGCTGCGAGTGATTGGCAGTTATTCCTTATAAGCAAGCACAAGATCTATTCTGGGAGCTCGCTGTCTGTTTCTAGCTGAATTTGCAGAGTGGCACAACAGGACCTGCCTGTAACGAAAACCCATGCAAGCGAGCGGTGAAAGTCCAACAACATGGTAGTGCTGAATGTCAATGGAGCGAGCTTTAACAGCTGCTGCCTGGCGTGGTGGGGACTCGGGCTTCAGTCAGCATCTCGCTGCCTGTGGTGAACGCCTTTGAGCTTGAGCTTCCCGAGGAGCCCGAGCTACTTCTGAATTAGTACCAGGATGGCAGTGCACAGGAGTTCAGAAAAGCCACTTGCACTTCTGTGGTATGAAGGTCTGGGTTGTAGGCTGCAAATCTACTTGCTTGGTTGCATGATGATGTGGCAATCCCCGGTGAGAGTAGGAGGCTCTGTTAGGAGGTGCAGGCTCTACCTCCGGTCAGGTGCTGCTCTGGGAATATCATACCCGGACTCGTCTCCGGTCAATCACTAGAACCACTAGTCTGTGGTAGAAGATAAACCTTGGAGAGGGATGAGTATTTTTGGGCCTGCTTACGTGCTTGTGGTGAGGGTTGGGTATACAAATATTTCTGGGCAAACAGGTACACATTCAAAATTCCTCCCGAGGAAGGAGAAGAGCCCAGACCTAAGTGCAGCCCGAAGGGGCAGTCCTCCAGGAAATAGCTCTGGGACTGACTTGAGTTGCCACCTTGGA